GGTTAAAATAGATATTTTTTGAAGTACTGTAACCCCGTTTTTTGATTTTACGGTTTTGAGATCTCAATAAAGTAGTTGTAAACTTCGTTCTTTTAGCTTTCCTATATAGTGAGATCTTACTACTATACATATTAATTAAATTAAATTATTTTTAAGGATTATTCTAATTATCTTCAAACAAAATAATTTATATACTTCAATATATTATTTTGATGCTGATATTGGATTAGTTAGTGTAAATTTTGGTAATTTAATTGGGCACGTATTAATTTTGGAGAGAACTATAGCTACTTTATTTACAACAAAATATAGCCAATCAAAAATTCCAATTTTTGGAATTTGTTGTATTTTAATTTTGGTATTTAATTAATATTTTTATTCGATATTATCACATTATTTCTAAGCTAATATAATTATCTAATAATATTAGTGCATGAACGAAATAAATATAGAATTACAATCAGGGCTATCCGCAATTGAAAAAATTTTTTCCGCAACCGCAATTCTAATTGTAAAATCAGCAAACGCAATCCGCAACTTAAAAAAGCACACACCGCAACTTAAAAAACAGCTCTGGAAAAATTTCGGAATACTAAACAGAACGCAAATGGGTCAAACTATATGTCATTCGAAAGAGCTCGTCGAGTTGAGTCGAATGGTGAAAAAATTTTCGTGCGGACTCATACAGGGGCTGAGATATAGGCCCCCGAAAATCGAAAAACCATAGGGGGGACCAAGCACTTTTTTGGGGTAAAAAATTCGAATATGCAAATAGTAGCTCATTCGAAAGAGCTCCTCGAGCTGAGTCGAATGACACCAAAATCATCGTGATTGGACAAGTTTGGACAAAGTTACGATAGAAAAACTAAAACCTAAACCTATGGGGCGTCGGCGAGGCGCTTGTGCAAAACCCCGCGCTTCGCGCGGGGTTTTGCGGCACGCGCCTCGCGGGGAGTCTACGGGCGCTGGGTCTGGGCTCGTAACATAAACCTATTCCTATCTCCCTTGCTCTGGACGTATTTGGAGCCTCCGTAGCAGCGAAAATCTCCAAAGATGCCATAGGTAAGGAGCTAAAATAAAAGATCACAACTTTGTCCAATCAAGTCGGATTTCGTTGATTTTGGTGTCATTCGACTCAGCTCGACGAGCTCTTTCGAATGAGCTACTATTTGCATATTCGAATTTTTTACCCCAAAAAAGTGCTTGGTCCCTCCTATGGTTTTTCGATTTTCGGGGGCCTATATCTCAGCCCCTGTATGAGTCCGCACGAAAATTTTTTCACCATTCGACTCAACTCGACGAGCTCTTACGAATGACATATAGTTTGACCCATTTGCGTTCTGTTTAGTATTCCGAAATTATACCAACAGCTCTAATCACAATGTTTCTATTACAGGGTGACTCAAAAGAATCTGCACAAACTATCTATGTCATAACTTTATTAAAATTTGAGATAATATAATCAAATAAGGATTATTTGATAGAGAATTGAATAAGGGACAAATATAATTGGGAATTTTCGATATGCACGAACACTGCTTGGATACACAATCGATAATGCGTGGAAAAATTTTGTGCAAAAGTTTGTACCACCTCGGGTGAGATTCTGTCTCGTTACCGAACGGGTAATTGTCAGAGCGAGTTCAAACTTTTGGGTTATAAAGCAGTTATCCTTGCCTACAAAATATCAAGAAGACTAATTCATCGGATACAAATCCGGTGAGTACGGTGGCTGTATTTGAGACGAGTCAAAAGTGGGTAAATTGGCTGCGACCGACATTGCATACTTTTAGCCTTATTAGGAAGGGATGAATTCTGTTGAAAGATCCGGTCCATATGCCAAAAGTAGCCGATGATACAAGGCTGTAAAATACTCTGAAGTATTTCCCGTAGATAATAGTTTTCATTCATTTTGACCTCAGGTTTCATGAAAATCAGGGAATTTTGACAGATTCGCAAATAACAGCCCATATCATTTCGGAAAAAATTTGTTGGGAATCCGTAATAAACGGATAAGAAAGAGGAGATTTAGAGGTTCAATATTTGCCATTTTAATGATTCGGACATGTCTCATTCATGAAAAATTTTCCTTTTGAAGAATGTGTCACTTGACTTGCGAACTTCCTATGAGGGAAGTTCGCAACTTGACTCGCGAACTTCCTATAAAAAACGGTATTATAATGGAATATGGTTCATAAGCCTAGAAAGAGTATTGAATGGACTTCAAAATGAGCTAAAAAATATTTAAAAATTTAAAGGAGAAAAAAAGTTATGATTAAACTAAGTTTGTTCAGTTACTTTTGAGTCACCCTGTAGAATAAATACGATGATTTAGCTCGTTATTGCCTTACTAAGTGACAATGGTATAATCCTTATATCCAGAAAACAGTCTTTATGTAAATTATGTAGCTGAAAATAATTAAAAACCCCCAAAAGTCGACTTAATACTTAAAACAAAAATCTTGGATGTCTCACTGTATAACACCAATAATTTACCTAAAATAAGTCCTATAAAAAATTACCCCGTTTTGTTATATAGAGAGTTAGTTACCTTATCAATTTTCAGTTGGTTTTGACAACATTTGATAGATTAATACTAGGGTTGTTGGCGGACGGTTAACCGAACCGGAACCGGAACCGTTAACCGGTGTTTTTGGCGAATTAACCGGAACCGAAAACCGGGGGTCGAAAACCGGCGATAACCGAAAACCGGTGACCAAAACCGCCCGGTTTCGGTTTTAAAAATACACCCCTAACGATGGAAATTTTCGGGAATTTTTCGGAAATTCGAATGACTAAAATAGGTATGTATATTTTAGCAAAATATTTCTAGCAGAATATTAAAAAAGTCAAAATATTTATAATAATTTTTTTGTTTCCTTGAAAAGATGGCGGGCGACAATGTTCATAGGATTGAGTTCGATCTTATTTTGTTAATGAAGTTTATTTCTGTTTTCTATGTTGCAAAAAAGAAGCTCAAGCTTTTAATTTTGATCTTAAATATGCAAATTTATTTTTAAACATTATCAAAAGTGTAAAAAGTTGTAACAAATTTTTTAAATAAATGGGGAGAAAGATAATGAAAACAAAGAATTTTTACCTACTGTTTTCCAAAATTCTCAAAATTTTCGCCTGCGGCGCTGAAAAAGAAAGAAAATTTTTAACTAGGCCATCCAAAATTCTCGAAAATTTAGCCTCTGGCCGCAAAAAAAGAAGAAATCTGGCTATTGGCCTTTAAATTAACAAACTTTTTTCATACGGCGATCAAAATGGAAGAAATTTGGCTTCTTAGCCTTCCTAAATTTTCAGATTTTCGCCTGATTTAAATCGGAGTTATTGGAGGATATATTGAGATCTCCTGCATATCGAGGATATCAGGAGATTTAAAGTCATCAAATGGATATCGGACCTATAAATCCCTAGACAACACCTCTTAATATAAATCCCTAGACAACACCTCGCCTTAATAATTTCTCATCTCCCTAATCCACGATGAATTGTATAGAATATTTATTTAAAAGCGTTATAATGTTACAACATCTTAATGGGATATTCTGAATGAAAATTTGTCCAAAAACCGGTCCCGGTTAACCAAAAACCGGGGGTAAATCAAAAACCGGAACCGAAAACCGGGGGTCGAAAACCGGCGATAACCGAAAACCGAGGGTACCGGTTAATAACCGGTCGCCAACAACCCTAATTAATACCTACAAACTCTACAAATGCCAATGTAACTAATTTATTCAGCATTTTTATAATGAATGCTTCACTGTTATTCAGCATAATAGAATTAATTGTATGCTTTATCTTTTAATTTAAACCTAGAAAATTTATAGGCATTTTCTCGATTGACTTCCTTCAATAAAAAAATGTATAAAAAATATTTGAATAACAAATCTAACCCAAAAAATAATTACACTTTGAATGAGCGTTATCGACAATTAGAAAATGTTTATACAGGAAAGCAATTGGCACCCTCCTTTTTCTTTCATTTTATTAAGATTTTGATTATAAATATTGGGGGTATAATATTAACTTATTTTAACTTAACAAATGAGGCGATTAACGATCTTATTAGCATCAATGTAGTGTTAATTGCAATTTGTAAACTTTGCATTGAAATAACTGTAATAACGTAAGTTAATTTTATTCGATACTTGTTGGTTATTTATTACCTTTTACAAGCTGTATCCTATCCCCTGTTGTTAGATATGTGGTCTAGTAGATCAGCGATAATATATCAGATACCGTCAATTTATGAGGCAGGATTAATTTATGCCACACATAATTGACTAGTACTAGCGCTACACCGGAACCGCAAATTTGGCCGAAACCGGGACCAAAAAATCCCTGAACTATCGGTGAAGCTTTAACTAGTATCATTTATTTTATTAAATCTAGTAGTTAATTTAAAAACAAAATTTCTTTTTCTAGTTTCCACCCAGTTTTAAACAAAAATTTAAATAAAATAATTATGAGAACAATTAATTTTATAAAATGTGGACACCCTTCTAGAGTAGATGTTCAAAGACAAACAGTAATTACTTCAAAGATAGTTGCTTCAAAAGAACAGGATTTGCATTTTGAAATGCTTGGACAGCTTTGGAAATGATCGTGCAAATATATTTTTTCTATAATGCAAAAATATTTTTCAAAAATAATACATAAAAGAATTATTTTATTAATTTTTAGCAAGCAAAAAAGATTTCAAACAATTTTATTTAATTAGTTAAATTGTTAAAAAAATTTATCCAGCATTTTATTACAGTAAAATTTTTTTATCATAATATGTATAAAAATATTGCAAAAAAATACTATAATTAAAAAAAGAAAATTACGTTTAAAAATATGACAAAACTAAGCCTTAAAACTAGTGTATTTAGCTCCCAAATCTTCGAGGGCGGGAGTGTCAGGTTTCGGGGTTTAACTCTCATTTTTCTACTGTTTTTACGAGTTTTGTCCCATTTTTGAGTGTTTAAACAAATAAATAAATAGTTTTTTTATTGTTTTGCCACTAAATCTTGATTTGGTTTCTTCTCTTCAATTTGAACATGTTCAGATTTCAAATCCCGGCTAAATTCGCCTCCATTGGGTAATTGCAAATGTTCGTGTTTATGTTTTGATAATATTTTATTTTCGTTTAAATTATCTACAAAAGGAGCACTTGGAAATGCTCCTTTTCGAATTTCTGTTGTTGAAACAATTTGTTTTGGAAGTAATAAAGATGTTGAGGAAGGTGTTGATTTTGTGCTTAAAATATTTTATTTTGAATTTTGTTTGATTAAAAGTTTAAAAATTATCTTTTAAAGATTTGCTTAGGGAAGTTATCACACTAGATCAACGAACTATAAAACCAAATTAACACTAAAGAGTGTTGATTTCTAGTGATTTTATAGTTTGTTGATCTAGTGCGATAAGTGTTGATCAGCAGAGGGATATAATCAACTGAATCAAATCTATTACTAATAGGAAATTTTATATGATTGTTCTCCTAAGGGACGGGAAAACAGGGACGTGTAATTAAATAAAGATGGATGTATATAGGAGGGAGGAAGGTTCCTTCTTGCTTCTTTACGAATTTCCTTTACGAAGGTTCCTCCCTAGGGGGAGGAACCTTCTTCCCCTATATATAGGTAGGAGGAGTGTCTTCTAAAAATCCTTCAATCAACCGGAACCCAAATGAAAAATCCTTGTTTTCTGTTAAGACTTAATCTTAAAACACCATAAAAATTAAAAAAATATTTTCCTCTACTTTTCATTATCTTCAATTGATTCTGTTGATTTTTGTTCTTCCACTACTTTATTTATTTGTTTATTTTCTGTTTTCTCCACTTCTACTTGTCTATTTTCAACATTAGATTTTTGCCTTTCTTTAGATATATTTTCGCCATTAATTAGAGCCAAAACATGAGGAGGTAATTTAGCTAGTTCCTCAGAATCATTTTTAGAATTTTCTTCTGATTTGTTTATTTCTTGCTTATTTTCTGTATATTCTGCAGTTTTTGACTTTGCCAGGTGTGGTCTTTTTCTAGGAGAAAATAAACTTCCGTTTAAAGCGATTAGATCTGGACGTTTTGATAAACGATAGAAACGTGCCATATTTAATTGTTTGGCTCGGCTGGACAATTCTTCTTTTGTGGATATCTTTGATTCGGTTACTGTAAGGGGAGAGGAAGTTGAAGATACTGGAGTTGTTAAATTGGAAATTTCATTTTTTAAACTGGTTGAGGTAACCAATTCTGTTGTGGTTGTTGTTGGCAATGTTGAAGTTGAGGTTAATATAGTTGGTTTTGGAGCTTTAAAAAAGGGAAAATTGAAAATTAGTTGCATGTTCCTTTGGTTCAAGAATTCTGATTATCGAAGTTTGGAATTAAATTTTTATCGGGAATTCCCGAGAAAAAATTCGAGACAAATAGCAAGTGATTTCTCATTTCTGGAACCTCTCTCAGTTCTGGGACCGGCTCCTGAGTATTACAGTTAATCTATTCTGGAACTGAAAAACCACTGTATTTAACAAAAAATATTTCACAGGGGCTAAAGTTTGTTTCACCTGCATCACAGCAAACTTTTCTTGGAGGAGGATCTGGCCTTCTTGGGCATTTATCTATATCGTCATTCTCGTAATCTGTTTTGCATATCAAATTTGGCTCTGTTGTAAGATTTATAGCTTCGCGACCATTCATAACGTGAAAGCCATCTTGCGCACAAACAAGTGGATTTTCTTAATTTTTTATAAGTATAGACAGAATAATTAATCGAGAAATCTCTTCCACTTTGAATAAACCTCTAAATACCTTGAACCCGAACAGTCAAAAAATCAGAGCCCATAATAGCCGAAGGCTGAATACTGCGCATTTTATTATGAGAAAGGTCCAAGGTATGCAAATTTGCCAAATGCGCAAAACTGAATGGCTGCAATATTTTAAATTTGGAGATAATTACAGGTATTATATAACAGCTACCTGTACAATTCGAATATTATTATTTGCAAGAGAAACTTGTTTCAAAAAGGGGGCGCCTTGAAACATATTTGGCGAAACAGAAGAAATACAATTGTGGGGAAGCCAAAGGAGTAATAAAGGGGTTGTTGCAAAAGCACCAGGCATTACTTCTCTGATAGAGTTTGCTTCGAGATTTAGATGCTAAAAAATAGGGAAGGATTAAAAAAGTTTCGGAACTGATAAATGACTAGACTGTAATGGAAATGTTAAGAGAACTGTTCGGAATTATTAAGAAATGAGGATAACCGAATAATCTGAAGAAGGAAGATAAGAAGGAAATATAGGAATATGTATATCCGCCATGATTCCATCCCTTTAATGGAATAAATGCGCATAATTAAGAGAAATATGGGAATTATTATCCAAAATAATATTAAAGGGATGGATGATTTATTGCATTTTCTATCCCTTTAAATTTTTAGGAAGAAGATAGAAACATATCATAAGTTAAGTCGATTAAGCTTTTGATTGATATATAAAATTTATGAATATCTAGGAGTTAATGGCCATTAGGCTTTAAAAAGGGAGGGCAATAAGTTTATGTCAATGAAATAAATATTTATCTTAATTTTTCACCTGTAAATTTTCCATTCCTTTAAATGTATCTGCATTAATCTGCTCAATTGTATTATGACTTAAATCAATTATTTCTGAAGCAGTAAATTGTTTCATTGCGTCTGATTCTAGTTTGGATATCTGATTCTCACTCAAATAAATATACCGAAGATTGGGCACATTTGAAATAAAATTAGGAGAAATATGGGAAATGTGGTTGCCTGTTAGGCTTAATAAGCTTAAACTGCTCAAGTTGCGAAGTCCCTCTTCTCGCAATTCTTCTATCTAAAATTAATTAAATTAATAAATGATTAAATTTTGAAGTTTTTGAATAGCTCAGTCACTTATTTTTAGATCGAAAAAATCTCGCATTAAAAACAGATTAAGTGCCTGAACGAAACTTAGTTTTATCAACCAGGATCTTATGTTTCAAGATCCTATAAAAATAATCAGTCGAGATTTTTTCCTCGTGTTCGTTTTAGATCCTTTGATTTGTTAGGAAGAGATGGTGTAATGTTAGATCAGCCCCTAGTTAAGTGTTAGTTAAGCCTAGATCAGCAACCAATATCATCAAGGTTGCATGATTAACTGCCCAGTGTCTAGACCTATCCTTATCATTATCTTATCTACAGTTTCTGGGAAAGTTAAAGATAATTCAGGAACTTCTAAAGCTCAAACCAAAATTTAGTCTTCATTTTTATTAAAATAATTACATGATTATATTTAATATGTAAAGCAATTAGTGAATTCATTTCCTCTAAAGCACTGCTAGGCATTTGTGTCAAACAATTATTATCCAAAATAATATTTTGTACACTTTGTTTAACATCTCTAAAAGCATTTTCAGAAATTTCACAAATCTAATTTTTAAATTTTTCAAAAAATATTTTAAAATTAAAATTACCTTATTACAACCTAAATGTATTTCTATTAAATTTGGCATATTTTGGAAGGAAACGTTTGTAAGGTTGCCAATTTTGTTACAGCGAAGATTCAAACCAATTAATTGGTTTAGCCCTTTAAAAAATTTATTTACAAATATTTTAGGGTAATTTAAATTTACTACTCAACTCTCTCTATAAATAGTCGATTATACATATATGTATGAGGTTCATTATAATATCGAAAGTTATTTTATTGGAGAAATTTTAAAAAAAACATTGAGCTACTATATAGACAATAATGGAGGTTGAATCCTCATCCTCAAAAATTAATTAGGACCTATTATGTTCATGCTTTGGAAATATTTATTGGATGGGAGATAGAATAGAAACATCATGGAAAGGGCCCAAACCGAAGCACAATCGACTGTGCCACTATCCAGCTAGATGATGGGTTATTTTTATTCATTTATATTTTTCTGCAAGTGCGGACACAACTGGACCAATTTACGATAATTTTTATTTTAAATCCTTAGTATCTTCACGGTCCGATTCTACATAAAAAATTTATTGTTGTTTTTTGGTTCGGTTCCGAATATAAGAAGATTTTACAAGAACCGACAACCCCTATTTACAAGATTTAGGGTAACTAACCATCTAATGCCGCTATAGGAACTTCAGTTAATCTGTTCCCAACAATTGAAAGTTCTTGTAAAATAGATTCAAGCCCTCTAAAAGCATTCTTTTGTATCAATTTAATTTTGTTGTTGTCCAAAACCAATTTTTTTATTCTCATGCCCAAAAATGCACGAGGACCGATCTAAAATTAGATTTTTATTTTCAATTATATTTACTACCCAAATAATTTTTAAAAGTATATTTTTGCTTTAAAAATACTCCTGTCTTTAAACTTTGAATTAAATATTTACTTCAATAATATTAGCATTTTCTAAGACCAATTCTCTAACTTCAACATTTAATTTTTTAAGATTTTCAACAACTAAAGGTCCATTTGGTCCATTACATTTAATAATAGCTCCATCAATATATTCCTCACATGTACATGCTGTTTGATTACGCATTAAACTTGTTGGGCAAAAAGTTGCCGAAATGGAGATGATAAAGTTAAATAATAATAAAGGAAATAAAATTGTAATCCTTTTTATTTGCCACATTTTTTATGTTAATTAAAATAGTGTTTATTGCTATCAAAAATAAGGATTAATTTGAACACATTTAAAAAAAACTTTTCATTCAAAATTTTTTAATAAACCCCTCTATTTATGTACCAGGGATGTAGACGACCCGATTCCCGAAAATTGTGAATTCCCGATCTTTTTTAGATCAGATTCCGATTCCCGAAATCGGTAATTTAATTTCTATTCGGCTAGATCCTTGATATGTACATATAGTATGAGTGTTATTTATTAAGTTAAACACATATGTATCAATGATTTATATTTTTAGAGATCTTCAATAAATTTGAGCAGGATTATATGGGTTGAGCTTGAGTTTAGAATCGAATATCGGTTTGACATAGACCTACATAGTTTTGAGCTATTCGGTTTCAGGTTTGTAATTTGAAAATTGATTGCCTAAGGCGATAAAACAGAAATGCTATTTGACACATATTTATTTAATAAAAGTCTAGTAAAGTTCAAAATAACTTGAAATCTTTTTATCTGCTTATTTAAATTTTTTATTCTTTTTTAAATTAATAGCAATCCTAATTAACTCTTATTTTAATAAAAACACGAGAGAGAATCTACAAACCAATTTACTTTCTTTTTTGACTTTAATAAAGGTGTATATTAATATTAATTTTATTTTTGTGCGCGTTAAAGATGACACAAGAAAAGCTAAAAATTAGGGCAAATTAAATAGGAGGTGATGAAATAAAAATATAAGAATTTTATTTAGAAAAATATTTATATTTGTGGTTATTTATTGGGCGGAAGGATTGAAAGAGATGAGAGAAGAAAATTTAAAGGATAAAAGAAATTATGTGACCAGGTCGAATACTAAAAATATTTTTAGTAAAAATGGATGTATTTTTGTGTGAAGATATTCAATCGAGATAATCTTTTCTCTCTCTCTTTTTCCTTTTTTATTTCTTCATCCAACCCCCACCTAAACCAAAAAATCCCAATTTGCGCATTCTGAACGAAAAGATATTTTTAAGGGGAAGGGATTAAACTTTCGTATGTTGAAGGAAGAGATTTTTAATATTTCAGAATAAATTTTAAAAAATAACTAAAATATTAAAGATAATAATTTTTCATTTAAAATTTCTTTTAAAATTTTTATTTTTTCAATTATTGTTAGGCCGAGAAAGATAAGATAGTAAAATTTTAAAACGTTAAGGAGGGGGGGGGGTATAAATCTAAAAAAAGAAGGGTGGTAAATGGAGCACTAGAGATCGGACAAATGACAAAATCAAATATCTAATAAAACTATTTAATATTTGAATAAATTTGGTGTGTTTAAATTTATCCTAACAAATATTTGATCAAATAAAATCCAAGATTAAGTACGTGATTTTCCAACTTTAAATATTTATTTCGTTTGATCCCTATAGAGTGGACTTATATTTCAACTCTCCTAAGGGAGAGGCGAATGGAAGTCAGGATGGAGTTATTACTCTAACAGTGAAAGATAATGTGAATATTTTTTCCCAAAATTATAAAGTAGATACTTAAATAAATACAAATCCAAAAAAGGGAATAATAAAATGTAACAAATCCACTTATTGTCGAATAAATATTTTAAAGCATTTTCTTTTCGATTTGAATAGCGAAGCGAATTGTGAATATTACCAATTTTCGTAGTTAAAAAAGGGAGTTAAATCCTATATTTCAAAAATTTTTTGCGTAGAATAAATTTATACAACACAAAATAGTAAAAGAAAAGACAAAAAATTCCTGATCTTATATGACTTATCTTATCTTAAATGACCGAAAACGTTTAAAAAGTGTTAATTATTTAAAGGATACATAATAATTCTCATAACAGACAGACCAGTATACCTGCTCAGGGGTTAGATAAATAAGCAGATGATTTACCTAATCAGGAATCCAAGAAAACTGACAATAAAGTCATTAGAGAAAGGACTCGGAGTGTCGGTAATAAGGCTGGCGAATCCTGGGAAATCTTCAGGTATCTGAATCCGATATCCAAAACGAAATCTTTGGATATCCTGATCCGCCAACCTTAGTTAGCAGTATATGTTTTAACAGCGTTATAATTTTGAAAATTTCGGAAGGCAAAGAAGAAGGATTTTCCTAAAGACGCATACCGTCAAAGAAGATTTTTAATTTCTTTTTTAAAATCAGAAAACTAAGAACGTACGCGTTTTCAACGCAATCAATCCTAAAACGGAAGAAGGAGGCTCTGATGAGGAGAAAGGACTATTACATTTGCAAGAACACAATGAAAAGCATTTTTTCTCTTAAAACATTTTTGTTTTATCAATTTCTTAATTGTTTCCATTTATTCAATTCTTTTATTTCAACTTTTTATTTTTCATCTTTATTTTATATTGTTTACTGTAGCATTTATTACATAAGTAATTACCAGATTCCGAATCAGAGTGCCGTTGTATTTGGTTTGTAGCTCCACAGATAAAACACTGACGATCCTCCTTAAAAATTCAATAGGATTCCGCCGATCTCCTTGGATTCCACAGATTCCTGTTTTTTACTCTTCCGTTTCCGCTTTTCGCCTTTTCAAATTTTTTATTTTATGTATTCCTTTTTATCAACGGTAAATGTCGCATAATGGGCATAGTTAAATATAAAGAGGTAATTTAATAGGATGGAATCAGATTTATTGTAAGAAACTGACAAAAACTTGGCTTCCGACAATCACTTATTTTTACATTACTGATCACTAAAATCACATTTTCTGATCTAGAATTCGGGATTCACTCCTAAGATGGGAGTGAATCTGCCTAAATCAGACGGTCCCGGTAGATTTATCCCAAAAACTAGATTTTAGCTTGTCATTTCCTTTCTTATGCCAACAAAATTCAAAAGAAGATTTCGGTATGTAAAGATTCGAAAGTATTAAATACTTTGAAATAATTTTCAAACGAAAATTCCGAATTATAAAGACAAACCTTTTTTGTTTTAAACAAAAATTTTATCGGTCTATGACTGCCAGCATGTGTTAATTTATATTGGTAACATGCATTGCACAAATGATGTTCTTCTAGGTATTTATTACATTTTATGCCAATTGTAGTTGAGCAGTAGAAACAATTTCGTTTATTTCCATCAATCATTTCATCTGTAATAATCAAGGATAAAAAGCTTACTTTAATTTAGCCAAACGATAAACAGATTTACAAAAAAGAATAAATTTAATTTACTTATTTTATTGCCAATGTAAATAATTCTGTTTTTTAATTCTTTCAGATATTCAACTTTTTGTTTTTCTAACAATTCAATTTTATATCCAATTAAATTAATTTCCGTCCAATAATCTGATAGAAGTTTATCTTTGTAATTTTCTATATTATCCTTTAATAATTCTTTTTCTTCTCCAATTGAAGTTGAATCAAAAATATATTTATCTAACCTCTCAGCTAATATAGAAGTTTCAAAATATCTAATATCCTTATCCTTAAAATCATTGTATCGGAGCTTCTTAAATTTATGAATAAATTAGTTTATGCCTTATACGAGGCTAAACGCATTTCTAAGAATATAAGGAGGACCCTTCTCTAATTCGCACCCATCTCCGATTTCATTTTGCACTAGGGGGCACGGGGATAAATTTTCGGAGAGGCAGCGCCACCAAGTGGAGGCGTGGGATTTTTAAAAAATCTATCAAATTTCCCGACTTTCAGGGACGAGAACAACCCTATTTTGCACTACTAGCTAAAGTAGAGAAATTTCTATAGCCAAGCCTCTTGACTTTATCAATGGGCTATCTATTTCTATTGATATTTGGTTTTAATTCAATAAAAATTTCGAAGCTCTATTCGTATCTCAGTTGACATGTTTCTGCATTTTTCATGAAAATGAAAATTGGCCGAGATAATCCGGATCTACCGGATATACCAAATCCCACTTTTTCGGAAAAATTTTTCGGAACAAATTTAACAAACCCAAATGATAAAGCATATTTTTGTGAGCATTAACCACAAAACCGCTTAGAAATATCTTTTTCCGGAGCAGAGATATGATTTTTTGAAAATCGCATTTTTCGCCAATTTTTGCAAAATTTTCAATTTTTAAGGGAAAAATGCGATTTTCAAAAAATCATATCTCTGGACCGGAAAAAGATATTTCTAAGCGGTTTTGTGGAAAATACTCAGAAAAATATGCTTTATCATTTGGGTTTGTTAAATTTGTTCCGAAAAATTTTTCCGAAAAAGTGGGATTTGGTATATCCGGTAGATCCGGATTATCTCGGCCAATTTTCATTTTCATGAAAAATGCAGAAACATGTCAACTGAGATACGAATAGAGCTTTCGATTGGTATATAGAACGTATTTTTTGAATGAAAAATTAAAAATTAAGAGAAAATTTTCTAGCGCTTCCATACTTTTTTCCACGACTGTATATCTTTTATAAAATTTAACATTTTTCTTCCACCTGATTACACTTACACAATTAGAATTAAGCTCTTTATTATGTCGTTATTAAAAAATGCCGTAGTGCTCGGACCAATGTAAAAGACAACATTTTATTGTCTCATATTTCGAGCATAAAAATGTATGTTAATATGCTTAAACCTGCCATAGTAAATATTTTTAAATAAATTTGAAAGTGTGTGGGAGAATGAGCTTTTATTTGAAAGATTGTGGGATTTTTGTGAATTTTTACTGTACTTTTTTTGACATCGCTTATTACATATTTCTTTTATTTTTCATTTTATTTTATTAAAAAAATTTTCTCATAAATTTTCTTCAAAACTTTTTTCCATTAGGTAGATTATTACATAAAATTAGAGATATACATATGTAGCTTAAAAGATTTAAAATTTGAGATATAATTAAAAAGTTACAATATTAAAGTGCAGGAATTTCTTCATAAAATCCAGTTATCCGTGGTTTATCGCGGTTTCCGCGCTTTAAGTTCTCAGTTTTGGTTCCCCAGCTTGGTTCCCCTTAAAGTACTTCGTTTTTGAGAGCCTGTATCTCGGCTCATAATTGATTTTTTGTGGCATTCTTTTCTGACATTCGACTCAGTTCGCCAAGCTCTTTCGAATGATTTAATGTTTGTCTGGATGTGAGATATGACTTAATTTTACAGATATCTTTTATTAAAATTTCCATCAAAAAATGGACAACAAAAGTTTCTACAGCGTTAGTTTTTAATTCTTAATTTGAATAAAATACATAATTAAAGGCGTTATATCCAAAATACAATGACTCTGGATTTGTCCCTGAAATATTTTTTAATGCTTCAACTACTACATTATTTTCTTTGATGATAATAATATCAAATTTAAGTCTTTGCTATATTTTTATAAAATATAGGTAAAAAATTGAATTAAATATTATATCAATCGAAGGTCGAATCGGGCATCGAATTTTGCCCAAAAAAGACTCAGTCGGTCCGGTCCGATAAAATGAATTCCTATAAAAATAACTTGAACGTCGGCCCGATTCGAAATCAGCAACCCTAGCTCTTTATATCAATCAAAAGCCCTCAATACGCTCTATCTTTTTTCCAACTGAATCAAGTCTGATAGCCAATTAAAAAGTTACAGTACGATATGTCCAGGAAATTAATGTGGTGATGATCAGCTTGGTCCTTCCATTTGAATGATATAAGCTTCATAAATATAGGCGATAAAATTCATACAGTTTGGAACAGAATGGCAGCTTTCTATTCGAATATTTTTTGATTCCAATGTATAGTATGACAGTACTGAAAACAAACACAGAGAATTCTCATTTACATATTCTACAAATTAAATTTTATCAAACTTAAGACAAAAATATCTTGCATTAAAAAGCAATACAAGCACCTTACTATTTATTTACTCAGTAATTGATGTTTTACCTCATTTAATGACATTAATTTATTTTGTAAGAGTATGTATTGGCCTAAATTTTTTTCCAGTTTGGTTGACTAAATTTTCTGTAGTTTATATAGTTATCTTAAACATTTCGACTTATTTTATGTATATATTGATGGCATTTGACCGGCTATTTGCTTTATCTTTCCCAATATTGTAAGTTTATTTAAAATAATATTTGATAGAATTAATCGGTTCTAATTATAAGGTAGAAACACTGATGTGTTATTAATAGGGTATTTGATAAGCTTCAAGTCGGGGATACCTTTATCGTTACTGAGTTGGTTCTTGTGTCCCCCCTCCCCCTCCACATGGATATTTATGGTGATTTTTCTATTTTTATGTACAAATTATATTTTGTTTGAAAGAATCCATCGAGCTGAATCGAATATTATATGGCATCCCGGATTAGATAATTCTTTAAAAGCTATAACTCGGTGGTACCTTGTGGTATAACCGTTGATTACATATATTTTTCAGTTATACTAACTTGAACAAAAAATTCTATATTATCGCTCATTTAACAACATTAATACTTTTTGATATAATAATCTTTCTACTTTATATTATGCCTATATTTGATTATAAAACTGTAATAGTGACTGGCTATGCATTTGATAATGTTTTCTTTGTTTCTTCAATTAATCCAATATATCCTTTTATTCCAATGATAATTTTTATCATATCTTCAATTATTTATTTAATTATTGCAATTTTAGCTAAATACAAAACTGGTCATTTTTAAAATATAAAATAATTTGGGACTAGTAATGTATATGGTTGGTATTGGGTCTCAAAATACCGAACGGTTCTTCAGCCCCCTAGACAGTACCTACATGGATCTTCGTTGTAATGTGTAAAAAACGATTACAACTCTGATCCCGATTTTATGACCTTTATTGAATGAATGAATGCCATAGGCAAATAGTGACATTGAGAAAAAAATTTTTGACCATTATGAGCCTTTTGATTAAAGTGAAATTTTGTTAATAGCTTTTTAGCACCAAATTTTCAGATTTAACCACTCAAAAAATGAGAAAACTTAATCGTTCTCTGTCTTTAATAGTATTTCTTAATATTGGTTTATTATTACTTGATTACATAATAACTTATCTTATTACTGGAGACTCTACAAAGAAGCATGAAATTCTTAGTGTTGATAATTGGTTTATTTCAACATATATTTCTGTGATTTATCTTGTTGGTTTAGCTGCAAATGCTCCAATTTTATTCATCAATAGGCAAATTTTTTCTTGGTTAAATGAAATGTATTTCTGTGTTTATAACAATCCAAAATCTTATGAAGAATCTAACGGATTCTCCCTCATCAGTCGGGACAATCTTCAAAAATCTCGGAAATCATAAATTTTAGTAGATTTTCGGAACTTGAAATTCCGACCAACCTCTGCATACCAAAGCTTTTTATAAGCTCTAAATCCACAAAAACATTTCTTTGAGCATATGAAGCTTAATAAATCCAAAATTTATTTTTTAAAGTTCCGACTACAGAGAAGCTTACTTAAAAGAATTTAATTTAATCAAAAAATTTTTCAAAAAAATATTTAATAATTCAACAACTCCAATATTAGTTGTTCCAAGAGTTATTAATAACAATCAGTTAAACCAAGTTACTACAATTTCTTAATAATTGGATTATTTCTGTGGATATTTAAATTTTATTTTCTTAATTTTTTAACAATTTTATTTTTATTCATTAAATATATGTTGATAATTTTTTTTAAATTAAAGAAAATTTCTCCACTTTTAACTTTATGAAACCCCCATTGCAATATATACACTCCAATTTAAGTTACAGTTATTAGAATTCGGTTAACACTTATGATTTAAACTACTGGAATTTTTTCTTACCATACTTCTTCGATTAATTACCCGTCAAGCGAGATATCGAGGAATAATTACCCAAGGTAATTATGTATCAAGAAACTTTGATTTATTTTCAATTTTTGTGCTTTTGAATTGTTACAGTTCGTCCCCCATCCTTTCCTTCCTCAAATATTAAAAATGGTCCGACTTAATGCCTAATATTATAAATCTCATTAATCATGGCTGCGAAACTGGATTACGAAATTTTCATAAGGACTTCTCTTTACCTTTCACAGCAATCGAATGTTCAAAAACGATTATTAAAAAATTAAAAAGATTTTTTGAACACTGTCGAATTAAATAAAAATAATTTCTCAAAAAATGATTTAAAAATCAAGTTTATATTAAGTAACTCTTCCTATTAAAATCTAGAACGTTATCTTAAAAATTTTGATAATAATAACAAAAAATTTATCAGGTCTCTAGACTATACATATATGTATTTTTATATGAAAAAATTAAATATAAGTAAATTAAAAATGAGCAAATTCTAATCAAAATATGTATTATTTATCTTATAAAATTATATTTAAAATATCTCTTATCAAATCATGTTAAAGCAAACGCCATTCCAGCATGTAAGAGAACGAGCAATGCCGAATCGACCTTTATATTAAAATTAAATTTCAAAAATAATTTTTAATTAACAGTTATTAATGCCCATCTCTCAGTCCAATTGTAGGTATGAGAATAATTTATATTGTAATGGATTTCTACTACACCACAAATACCTGTCAGTAAAGAACACAAAACTGCTGTAGGCATTTCCTTAAAAATGAGATTTTAAAAATTATGGGTCTGATTTGGGACTGTCAATTGGGAATTCATAAACCTTTGAATATAAATTTGATTTCTGTTTTAAAAAGGGGGTTGTCAATAAAAAAAGACAGTGTAGCAGTGTTGCGCCGGAAGTTCCGGTTCCGGTACCAAAAAATTAGATCCGTTACCGACCAAATTTGGGGTTCCGGCGAAACACTACAGTGTAGTATTTTGTAATTTATCAAAGCGGCCAGACTCATTCCAAAAGATAACAAAGTTTGGATGAGATTTGACCCATTCAACCATCCCACCTCCAAATTATCCTTATATTTTTGCTTTATTAACCAGGCTGGAGGGGAACTTCGCCAGCCTTAGAATTTTAAAAGAATAAAAACCCCGCAAAATCCAACTATGTATATGTATAAGTTATCAAACCCCCAACAGAATTCACGGACTCAAGTCCTAAAAGAGAGTGAGATTACTGGAAAATCACCGAGCATTAGGAACTGAATATAGAACAGTGCTGGGTATGGCTCCGGGAGCTAGCTCCGGAGCCCGGCTCCGGAGCCGGCTCCGGCGGAGCCGGAGCCGGAGCCGGAGCTAAGATTTTGAAAACCCCGGAGCCGGAGCTGGAGCCGGAGCCAAGAATTTCAAACCCCGGAGCCCGGAGCCGGAGCCAAGGTTTTCCAATTCCCCAAAGCCCCGGCTATACACCCCTAAAGATGGGTTAGAGAAAAAGAAGTAAGCAAAGATGGTAGGCGAGAAAAGAAAAGGAAGAGAAAATTGAGACGGGTAAAAAAGATTTTCTTTCCTTTCCTTTGTAAAGTAGTTGTGGTTGAATGGATAGTGAGTTAGGTTCCGAGTTTTATCCGGTTATGGGTTCGAGAAATATTACAAAAAATGATTAAATAATTGTTTTTCTTTGGAAAATAAATTATAATAAGCATTTTTTAAATAAATAAAGCTGGATAAATTTTTTAAATTGATTAATTTTAGTCTCCTGTGAGTCAAATTTTTCAAAATTTTCGCCTGCGGCGCAAAAAAGGAAGATTTTTGGCTTAAGGATCTTCCAAAATTCACAAAATTTTCGCCTGCGGCGCAAAAAGCAAGAGATAATGAGAGGATAAATCCAACATCTCCTATTCGCCCAACTCCCAGACAACCCAAATCCCCTTAATCCAGCTTAATTCCCCGATATCGCCCTTAATGCACACGATAATCCACCCAAATCCCTCTTAATCCATTGATACTCCTCTTAATCCTCAGATATCACTCGATATCCCCCTTTATCTACCCAAATCCCCCAATGAAAATTAATTAATTGATTTTCCAGCCGGAGCCCGGAGCCAACATGGAGCGGCTCCGAAAATCGCCGGCTCCGGAGCCGGAGCTGGAGCCGGAGCCAAGATTTTATAAGGTCGGAGCCCGGAGCCGGAGCCGGAGCCAAGATTTTGAAACCCCGGAGCCCGGAGCCGGAGCCGGAGCCAAGATTTTCAAACCCCGGAGCCCGGAGCCGGAGCCGGAGCCAACAAATGGCAAATACCCAGCACTGATATAGAATAAATTTCGGGTTTCGGAACAGCAACCTTAGTCCCGAACCGAAACCATAATTTATAAAAACCAACCAAAAAATTGTAATTTATCAAAAAAGTATTTTCTATATTTTTGTAGTTTGCAAATAACCAGCAAAAAGATCCAGCAATTACTATACAAGAAACAAAAATGGCTAATTGCTTCAAAAATAATTTTTAAAAAATATTTAAAAATAAAAACCTCTGAAAAATGAATTCGATTTTCTTTTAGAGGACATTTGCCAATAAAGAAGATAATATGGCAATGAATGGCAGAAAGATAAAAAAGTAGAAAAGATAATGCCTGAAAAGTTTATTTTGTTATTTTAGAATAATACTTTTGGATCTCCTACATATAAAATACCAAATATTTGTTATCCTCTATTTAAGAAACGATTTTTTATGCAGCTCTCCAACGGAGACCTATCTAAGCAATACCACACAATATCAACTACAGTACCTCAAAGCAATCTCCACTAACACAATAAAAATTAGATTGTTCAGCACAATCTTCATATTATACGGTCGAACCTCGTAAAACTAATCTTACACCGGACCAAAACTAAGAATTCAAAAATGTCTTGCGATTGAACAAGCTGTTGGATAAAACTAATATCTTTTTAGTCCTGTGTTTTGGGCATTTGTTGGCTCTGGCTCCGGGGTTTTCAAAATCTTAGCTGTGGGGCTAGCTCCCGGAGCCATACACAGCACTGGACCCATATAAATTCTTTATTATCTAGATTTGTCTGTATTTAATAAAATATTTTAAAAATAACAAACAATTGAAAAAGAGTATAAAAGAAGAATAATCCATCTTCTGGTAGAGGTCATGAAAAACAATCGGCGATAGGCCGGACCAAAATAAACATATCCTCCATTCTCTTGTGAGCCCAATTGAAATAACAGTTTAAAGAACTTGTAGAAAAATAAATTTAAAAATATTTTTTGAATTTCTCTAAATATTTGTTAATTTATTGGGATGACAATATCACGGATCTGGACAGAATACGAAAGGATCTGGGCAATGATTCTTTTGAAATCGGATCAAATAGTATAAATATAATGTAACCCGAAAATACGGAAGTATATTCGTGATTATCTTCAAGGGTGTGCCGAAACTGATTTTTAAAAAATGCGAAGGATGAAACACCAAAAAGATAAATTCGTCCTAAAAACGAAACTGTCACTTTTGTTGTCGACGTACAGTCGAACCTCTATTTTAAAAAAAATTATATTAGAAATAATTTTTTAGGTACTAAGGGTTATCAAGAATAGAGATGAAATATAGCAGCTATAAAAATGATTAGATAATATTCCCTGTAATAGTTAATTTTCATCAACATGTAAATCCATTAATTAAAGTTTAAACTTGTAAAAAATATATATATAAATATTTTTTAAACAGTAAAAAGATATACTAAAAATACATAAATTTTTAAAGAAAATGCCTCGTTAATTTATAAAATCAAAAATAATTTTCAAATACTGAAAAATATTTTAAAAAAATTTAAATTAATATTTTATCATTTTTTTTGCATTTTAAATGACCTAAATGTTTCTCAATATTTAAAAAAGGCAATATAAGAATAATAGAGAAGGGAAAAAATTCCAAATAATAATAAAGAAAAAATCTTGCCAGCTTATCTTCCCACGCAGCCAGTTAATTTACCCTAAACCTATTGTTTAAACAGTTTGTTTGTCCTTATAGCAGATAAATTACAAATTATTATAAGAAAAGTAAAAAGAGAACTTTAAGAAAATATATTTTGAAAATTTTTAATGAGCCTAGATAATTAGAGGTTATTTTAGAAATACGTAGGCTTTTTTCTAATTTTCTTTCTAAATAGATATGTAGGTAATTTATTTATTTTTCTAAAAAAATTACCGCCCCAAGAGTTCTGTCCTCTAATTTAAGTATGTAGAATAGAACACAACCGGCTATTAACCGGTACTCACGTTTTTCGGTTATTTCCAATTTTAAAAATCCGGTTTTCAGGTCTGAGTTTTGTTCAAATATCGTCTTATTTTGGAGGAGTAATTTTTTGCAAAGAATTTCAGAATTTCGGTTTTAAAATCGGTCGAATCTTAGCCTTAATATAAGCTTAATTATGTCTTTAAATTTGAAAAATCTTAGGAAAAAATAATTTATTTTAAAAGAAATTTATTTTTCTATATTAAATAAATATTAAAAGCTAAATAAAAATAGAAGAAAGGAGAGACGAGCATTTTGTTTTTTGTAGTATTTTTCTAGTTACCTGGCAACATAAATATTTAATTTTGGTAGAAGATTTGTTAAAGCAGAAGAATTAAATGTTAATTTTGAAAATTAAAAGAAAAAGTACTTACGTAATAAAAATTTTTTTAAATTTTTTAAGGATAAATATACAATTAATTTTATAAAGTTAATATAGTCTGTAGATTTTAATTTTTATTAGTAAATCAAATTGAAGTAAAGAAAAAATAAAATTATGTAGTAGGCATTTAAACATTTTAAAAATTTTTACAGGTTAAATAAGTTAATTAACTATTTGGTGACTTACCGTAAAAACTGTATTAACTGCCCTGAGTAATTATTGTTTCGATCTCTCGCTGAAGGGGGTAATAAATAAAGGCGGGGTAATTATTTGGTGGAGGGAAATTAATCCAGTTTTTACGGTAACTCGTTTGTTTTGGTTCATGTGTGTCACAAATTGTCCCCGTGTTGGAACAGTGTTCCATGTTTTATGTTGGAGCAGTTTTCCACTTTGCGTTGGTCTTAGCTGGTGATCAAATGTCGGCGGTATGTTAGAACAAAGTATATGTATTGTAGCCTATTTATTGCCCTACCCAATGGTACCAAAGGCAAAAAAAGTAGCATCCCTTCATAGGTTATAGGGTCCGGGACTCATTTGAGGAGAACCGTCTCGTTTCATAATTTTGGCATGACCTTTTTCTTTGAAAGGGATTGCTTTAGCGGCCCGCTCCTTTATAATTTTTAATAATATTTTAAATTAGCAATTAACAAATTAAAAATATGTAAGCCCTTTTATTTTTTTGCCCTTTTAATGCCGAATAAATAAAAATGAAAAGGGTCGATAAATAATTTAAATAATTTATAAATTAGAGTTGTGTTTTGCCCTATATGAGAGTAAATGCATGTGAAATAAAGCAATTTATTTAAGATTTAATATAGCTATATTAAAACTCAGTCTAATTTAATTATACATTCATTTAATTAAAAAATTTCTTTTTAATTGTAAATTTAATTATTAATTAAAAAATGAATATTTTTAATTTATTTTTACTTTTATTTTTCCATTTTATTTGTAAATTAAAAATTGTTAATGGAATGGAGGAATATGTAATGGGCAAGTTTTATAATCTGAAGTTTTTTGAAAAATAGTAGAAGAATTAAGTGAAAAAAGAGCTAAGCCTATACAACTTTCAATGCCTTTAAGTTCGATTGCTTCCTTCACAGCGAGTTTAAATTTTCGACGCTATCCGAATTCATTTCTTAGTTGAATTGAAAATATAACTGTGGGAGGTTTCTAATATTATTATCCCAAGGTGGAGCAGGCCCTTGGAATAAACCAGAAGGTTGATGAGGTCTTCATGTTCGTCACCTGAGTG